TAGGAGAATGCTTACCCAAATGCCCAGGGATCTCTATCTTTTATTTATTTATTTATTTCATTATTGGGATAAGCTCAAAAGTTGTTTTCCTTTACAACGGTTGGGATATAAGATCAAATTCATGCTCTACTGGGTCTTCTTCTGTAGGTATGAATGTGGTAGCAAAGCCAATACATTCTATAGACCACCTCAAGGCAGAATCCTCTGCAGAAGAAAGCCAACTTATAAGTGACCTTGTTGCCAGAAAAGCATTGGTATACTAAGGCTGGTGTTTGGATCAAGGATATGGGTTAGACTTGGGTAAGGATTTGAAATGAAATGAAAAATTTATTAGCTTATATTTCATTCACATTCTCCTCACTTTTTTCTGTCCCTTTCCAAATCCCTAACCCAAATTTATAAATTAAACACAATCTAAAATTACATTATGATGATGTACCTACTCAAGTTCCTACCATCATAGAACATTTTCAAATCACCACTAGCAGAAAAAGCACTGCCAGCTTCCTATAAAAGTACATAGCAAGACTATAAAGTTTGAAACACCAAGCAAATCCATCAACCTAACTTCAATAAGATGAGGCAGTTACATTTACGTTTAATAATGCTATTTTATCAGAGTTGTATGGTATATATAATGTAAAAATAACAGTAATGGCGAAAGAATTGAAGTATTGGTTCTAGCCTTGATTAGTACGAGCTCTGCATTTTGGTAATTTTCCCATTTTTCCTAGTATTCTAACTAGTAATAGAAACCTTATTGCCAAAAACAAAAGCAGTCCTCAATCACAAAAATTATTTAAAAAACTTAAACCTTGCACTAAAAAAACTTTATGCAGATAGGATTGGACGCTTCTGCTTACCACTTTTTGTTGGTGATACTTACAAATAAACACCAAGAAAATACACAAAATAAAAGTTACAACAATTAATATAAGGGTGAGGTGTGAAAAATTCGCTCTCTTTAAGGAGATTCAAGCCCTTTGCGGTTAGGCAAAGCCTCACACCGGTGCAGGCAAAGAAATAACCTCAAAAAACCTTGACTTGTCCCCCCCAGGATACAACAGCCCGACTAAGTCGTATGGTTCACCAATACTGCACAATTGGTTAAACCCAAAGCTTTATCACACACACCCTTTTTATTTGCCTGATAATCTCACTCAAGACATAACAACACAACCAAAACTTCTTCACTTCTCGTGTTCACCCAAGATAGGACATAGTTCAAATTATATATAAGAATCTATCTTGGTGGCTAAGTAAAGATGGACTTAGAATGGATAAGTCTTGGTGGACCAAGAAGACTTAGACTTGAAAGTCTTGGCGAAGACTTGATGATGACTAGATGGATAAGTTTTGGTGGACAAAGACCAAGACTTGCAAAGACTTGGAGATTGTCTTGGATAGGATAGGAATGAGGAGACTTGAAAACTTGGAGGGAAAGAAAAGAAAAGCCAACGATAACACATTAACAAATTATAATATTAAAATACCTGTTAACACTTTTGATGAAATGACATTCAATTGACGAGGCCGGTTCAAGGTGATCATGCGCACAACAATACCCCTAATTTAGTGTATTGAGCAGTTGTTTTGCTTTTAGGTAACAAATGAAAGAAAACCCAACTAATCCAAAAATTATAAGGCTGTGTTTGGATATGAATTTGAGCAGCGATTTGGAAGGGGAAGGAAAAGGTGAGGGAAAGGACAAAGAATTTAGTTAATATTTCATTCACATTTCCCTCACTTTTTCCTTTTCATCCACAAATGCTCACGCAAATCATAGTGCAAACACAGCCTAAATAAATTGCAGAGGGATTACCTCTTCATGTGGATTTACCACTTCCAGTGACATTTTTGAGCTATCAATCAAATTGAGCCAACAACCCTGCACAAAAAGAATCAAATCGTGAAGAAACCCAACAAAGAAAATCCCATAAATTTGAAAGTAGAAATGAAATTTATGAATCAAAGATAAATCCCAATTCAGGAATCACGATTTTGGGATTCAAAAAGATTAAAGATTTCTAATGGGAAGCTCACTCTACTACAACTTCAAGATTTTGGGACTAAATTATGCAACTGAAAACATAATCAACAAAAATAAGAAATGGGAATTACTAGGACCTCAGTTGAAATAGGAGTAAGACTTAGAGACTAGTGAAATGGGCTTATGAAGAGAAGATGGAGGAGCAAGTTTGGCTGGTCCGTAGCTACCCACTACTCTTGAAACAAATTTCTTAGAGAGAGAGAGAGAGAGAGAGCATCACCAACCAGTGTACCACCTCCAACCTCCAAACACGAAAGAGGGGGCGAGATTATAAATTGTTTTCCCCAGGTATTTTCATCTACCTACCTTCCCCAACTACGTGACTTGAGAAATTTGGCTCTGTTTGGTAGAGTTTTGGAACGTTAGTTTCAGACTTTGATTTGCACATGATATTTGTTTGCAATTTTTAAAAATTAATTTTACACTTACTTTTGAAAACTCTGTTCAAAACGGGAAAATTTGAGCTAACCAGTTGTCCCACCGATTGACCGGAATAGTGCATTTTTTTTTGACATATGTTAATTTTTATATATTCAATAAAAAATATTTTTCGAATTTTTAAATTTTTTTTATGAGTTTTGAATAGAATTTTGAGTTGTGTGTTTGGTTATGAGTTATAAGTTTTTGTATCAAATATCATATGTGACATCAAAAATTTCCCACTCAATTCAAAACTCTTTCCAAAACTCATTCACCAAACAAATTTTTCACACTCAAATCATAATTCCAAAACTCACAAACTCAAAATACAACTCTATTCTCAAATCATATTGTGTATTAACAATGCACACTCTTGCATATTTTTAATATATAGATTTAGTAAAAAAAAATCTAAGGGAGGATAGAGGTTGAGTATTCTTACTTCAAGAGCTTCTTACAAACTATTCTCCAAAATTTGTTTTGAATTGGTGACCACCAAGCACCCTCTCCTCTCATTTCTTTCTTTTCTACTCTTTCTTTCTTTGCTTTGCTTCTCTTTGCTCAGCCGTGGAAAACAAAAGAAAAAGGGCTGGATAATGTTCTATATGTAGGAGCTTGGAGGCCATCTTTATTTTTATTTTATTTATTTATTTATTTCTCTTGACTTGGGAACTATCATCTACAAGATTAGGCTTTGAGGCTTAGAGTATGCTTAGCCTTAGAGTGTTAAGGCATGCTTGTCCACCTTTGATGAGGTTGTGTGTGTTGTTGGAGAAGCATGCTCTTACATATGCATGCTCAACAAAGCCCAAGAAAAAACCTTGGGAAGAGGCCAGCCATTCTTTCAATTTCTTTTTTTTTTTTTGTATATATATATATATTTTTTTTTTAAAAAGTAAAAAAAAAAATTCAAACGATTGTGCATTGGCTATTCGGTCTAAAAATCCTCATTTCATATTTTAGTGGGGGGTAGGTTGGGTTGTTTGTTTGTTTGTTTATTTATTTTTTTTATAGTGATATATATCTATATTTGTTCTACTAGAACATTTTAAAGGTCATGATTCATTTGTATACTTACATAGATGGCTCAAATAACCTCTTTAAATTTTTATCAATCCTAAATATATATCTTCCACTACAGGAAGGAAGGGTTTAGGTGGCGTTTTTTTAACGGCGTTTTTTAAAACGTCACTATTTTTAATATTTTACGGCGTTTTATAAACGTCTTGTCTTTCATTAATTGAAACGGTGCCGTTTTATGAATAGGAGGCGTTTATTTACGCCTTCAAATGCATGTTGTCTCACGCGCTTCCTTTTCCAATCTGAATAAGTTTTCCAAACAAATCTCTCTCTCATACACATCAAATCAATCACTTTTTTCAAAACTCTCTCTCAAAATAATTTTTCAAAACATCTTTTAAAAAAAACCAAACCAAACAACTTTTCATACTTTTTATCTCTAAAACTCATCTCTCAAACTCAAACCAAACGTACCCTGAGCCTCCTCCTTACCCATGTCTCCCCCACCCTTCTCTGCTCTCCAGCCAAATCACGTCTCTCCTCCATCCCTCTATCATCCCGCCTCCTGCTTATCCACGTCTCCCCCACCCTTCTATCTTTATCTCTCTGATCTCCAGCCAAATCACGTCTCCCCTTCATTCCTCTTTATCTCTCTCTCTCTCTCTCTCTCTCTGTTCTTTTTCTTCCCGAAACTGCTCTCCTTCAACCACAAATTCGGTTTCGTCTCCATCAGTTTGGGCACAGGAAAGGGGACATCCAAAAGCACGCACAGGAAGGGGGACATCCTAAAGCTCAGGTATGTGTATATTTACCCACGTCTCCCCTCCATCCCTCTTTATCTGTCTCTCTCGCTCCCTGTTATTTTTCTTCCCGAAACTGCTTTACTTCACTTTACTTTGAATTGATCTCCTTCAACCACAGCTTCGCCTTGGAGTTTCCGACTTCCTCTGTTTCTCAACCGCTCAAGTATGTATAGATTTTCAATTCCAATTTTGATTTTCTGATTACAATTGATTTCAATTGTAAACTGAACTATTTTCCAGGCCTCTTCTTCTTCGGTATTTTCTGATCGCAAGGTAAAAATTCCTTTTCTATTCACATTTGATGATCTATTTTATGTCCATATTCATCTCTCTTCCAAAGTTTTAGGTTTTTTTTTTTTAATTCTTCTCTGGCCTCTCTTCCTGTGGAATATTCTGATATAATTTCAATCAATCAATGTTGATGATAATTTTTTCCCCAATGGTTGGGGGATGCTATTTAATGTTTGAAAATAATTGGTGATATTGAACATTCTTGGTGATATTTTTTTCCCAAAGTTCTAGGGTTCTTTGAAGTAAAAATGACAAACGAGAAAGGGAGACCGAATGGAAAAGGGGAAAGAGAAAGTGGAAAGAGAAGAAGAATTCCAACAGGGAGGGTGAAAAAATGTTGTATAGGAGAAAGTTGAACAAGAGAAGACTAAGGGTAGAGGTCACCTGGTTGGGAGTGGTAGTAGAGATAGGGAGACATTAAAGTTCTTCCATAATTTTGATAGAAATAGGGAGACCTTTTTCCTAATTATTACTCACATTAGAAGACACTTACGTGTGGGTTTATTGAAAGGAATTTGGAATGGTGGGTAGGATTTTCTTAGTGTGGGATTTGTGATCGAAAGGTAGTTGGAGATCTTGGAGAGATAGATTTTGGAATATGATGTGTGATGCGGGGACGTTCAATTGTTGGAGGCTTCTTGGATCTATTTATTATCACGGTGAATAAGATGTTTCTGTTTCTGATTTCTCTAATTTGGAAGTGGTGTGGGAGTTATGATCATCAGGGCAGTGCAAAACTGGGAATTAGAGGTATTAGATGAGTGTGTTTTTTACTTTTTATTTTAAATTTTATTTAAAGCATCTTTATGGGGATTAATGTTTTAGCAAAGCTTATTATTCTTTCGTAGGAGATGGATGAGAAAGTAATTTCCTTGGAGGAGCATCTGAAGACCAGGAGTCCTGACAAAAATGTCCCCTTCATTTAGACCACAACATTGGTCAATTCTTATTTTCATTTAGTCAGAAAAATATGAGGCATGGGAATCACAAATCATTTTCTTGTGCACTATTTGGTGGTTGGGGACTCATGGAGCATGTTGTTTTATATTTTTGGAGACGTAGCATAAACATGGATGCAGGACCCAACACAACATGACATGACTATAATAACACGACAAGTCCTTAAAAAATCAGGATACAAATACAATTATAATAGCAAAGCTCCATAAATGTCATGTAGATAATGGATACAACAACTGTTTCTTTCTTATTGTATGTCCCATCCCCCCCACCCCAACACACACACACACATTGAAGTGTGTACAGCTTGCTTTACTTCTTTACTTTGTGTTGGTCATATCATATGTATACAATGTTCTTTTAGAGATTGATGCTGGGCAAGACTTATACAATTAACTAAACACGGTGGGTTTGGGATTTAACCGTGTAGGTTTATGATTGTACGGTAAACTTGGTGTAAAGGTGAGATATATAGGTCAGAGGTTTTTAAGTATTAGATCCAAGCTTTGGTCTTTGTATAATAAATTACGTAAGATTGTAAATACATCAATTTCCCATAGCACAGAAGGTGAAATATTGAAATCTTATAAACTCTTAGAGCTGGTCAATCGTATAATGTTATTAACAAAGACCAATGGGAAATATTTCCTATAATGAAATATAATAGCAATCCTATAATGTTATTAACAAATTTTGTACACATAAATAAGAAAAAAAAAAAATCATTTCAATCCTAACATCAATGACTAAGTTTTTCAATCCAAAACTTAGCGAATATGTATATGATTATGTGTACAAAATTTGTTAATAACATTATATGATTGAATTTGTTAATAACATTATATGATTGAATAACATAATGTTATAAGAAAAAACTTAGCACACACATTAAAATGTTGGCTAGCGTATGTGTATGATTGGCTAGCGTTATTAACACCAATGTTTTAAATTTTTTTGGGTCAAAATAGAAGGTAAAACTTAGTACACATATTAAACTTAGTACACACTCATTTTTATTCAATATATTTTGCACATATTTCCATACAATGTGACATATTTACATTGCAATGTTTGTAATTTAGGGTCAAAATTGACCCTAATATATTGAACAAAAATACATCAATGTGACGTATAAATACAATTTTCACAGGCATACATACAATGTTTCTTTTGATTATGTAAGATTGTAAGAGTTATTTACATTGATGTATAAAAAATGATTTTGGGAAATTGATGTATAATAGCAATCCTATAATGTAAGAGCAATGGGAAGTATTTCATTATTTATATTTCAATCGATTTTGCTCACGTGATAACCATTGAATCTTGAAAGATTTCAAACTTATGTCATATTTACATTTCACAGAAGCAATATTATTGTCTTTGACAAATTTAGGGTCAATTTTGTAATTTTTGTTCAATATATTTTGCAATGGGACATTATGGGCATACCTACAATCTCCATGTAATTATATAAGCAAAAGAAGCATTGTATGTATGCTCGTGAAAATTGTATTTATACCAAGCACATCTATCTATTTAGTTATATATTATATAAGCAGTAGCGAGTTTTCGTAGGGAGTTTTGTGAAAACTCTAAAATTTTATAATAAATTTGTAATTTAACAAATTAATAAATAAATTTAAATAATGTTGAGATTACAATTATATTCTAATCCTAACATTATTTGCACCGTACCTTCAAGCACGGGGCATACACTAGTATATATATAAATCAAA